TGGGATAAGTGGGAAGGGAACCACCATAAAAAGTGGCATCTCTACGGCAGGGTGATATAGTGATGAACATTGCTACCTTCCAACCAGTTGTCCTGGGGTTGATCTTGGTTATCACAAGATGTGATTATGTCAGCTCTTGTGATACTCTGGTAATGTCCCTCCCTCTGAGCCTAAAAAGCCTGGATTCAAGCCCCACCTGCTCCAGAGATTGTAATAACATTTCGGGACAGGATGATTAGAAAATATCTAAAAGGTGACCTCACTAAATTGGGCCATGGAAACGTTGGTGTGAAGGAGATGGAGCGGTCGACTCTGTCAAAGGTCACACTGCAGCAATGATGATTGAAGCTACACAGAATATCATTAGTCTTCACTCGGCAGGATGAGGACTGTCTCAGAATTGTGGACATGATGGACATTGAAGGTACAGTAGTTGAACTAAAAGAGACAACAATGGCATATTCAAAGGTGATAAAAGGTTAGAAATGGATCCTTTTTGAAGAGGGAGATGAGTGGACCTATTTCAGAGTGAGTTAGTATTGGTGGGTTAGGAGCCAGAACAGACTGAATTTCACATGCTGCTTAAAATGCAAATTAAAAAATCCTAGAGTACATTTTTAATTTGGTTAACAGGTAACTAGTTCCACCAGAGATCCACTTTGCATGTCACTTGGAAAGAACAACTTAACAATTGAATTCTGTTGAATAATGGCATTCAAAATGTATTAACATGATATTAATAAAACCATATTGGGCTGCATGTAACATGCTGCTGATTACAGACAGTGTGCACAGGCATGCTAAATGTTCACTGGATGGGCAAAAGCAGTTTTTTTAGTCATTTTGAACTACAGCATGAAGTGAAACAGCATTACAACATCTGCGACCTTTTGGTAGGAAGAGTTGCCAATATAGTGACAAAACAAACAAGTTTGAAATATAGTTAATAACATGTGGCAAAAGAGCATCTGCTGTGAAAACAATTAGCAGAAACATTTTATTTGTTCACAAAAAAACTACAAGAACTCTTATGCTTCACAGATATAATTCAAGAAATGACTATCTAATTCTAAGCACAAGTAACTTGGGGTTAGTCATCTTTCTGATCCTAAATCAGTTTTACGGGTGTGCCAATGGACTTTGGAATTCTATTCTGTTGGAGATTACATCCATTTTCAACAGCGAAAAGTGTCCTGTGAAATTGCTATCACCTCACGTGAAGACTCTAAATATTTGAGCATGACACCAATCTGGAAATTATATCATTTTACAATAGATTTGGTGTCATCGCTGTGTAAGAAATTACAGGACATGGCCAAATTTTAGTTCAAAAATGGGCAAACAGCTCTAGAGAATAGTGATCAATGTGAATAATAGCCATTCAACAATTAGCTAGTTCACTAATGTGCTATGATGTGATCTAGAGAAAATTTAATTCAACTGTTCTCTAAGCACCCAAGAGGGAAGTTTTAGCAACTATTTTCACATAAAAAAGGAGGGAAAATTTCATGCTATGCATAACTGCAAAGGTTTGATTTCAACAGAGGGCTCATCAAGATCCACACTAAAAGCTGAAACAGGAAGCCCAGTCCATTTTGTTATCATTACCTCATTAAGGGAGTTACACTCGAAATAAACAATCACTTTGATGTAGCACACTCACTCACTTTGCTACAAAATAGGCTAGTTCAGGAGTGGCCACAAATCCCTAGGAAGTATTCCTCCATGTTGTTTTTGTGGGGACTCCTGCTCCTTACTGCAAAGAATTAATCTGAGCATAGCTTCAGGATGCATACTTCTCCTAGTTGACTGATAAAATACCGTTGTAGTGCTTTTTATATCTTTGGAGAGCAATTTGCATAAATTCCTGAAACTTTTTTTGATGCTGCCTCAGAAACCCATGAAATGATGTTCTTTTATTGTTAATAATGTCACAGATCAGCTACGTGCTCAAGGACAATCTCTAGGATAAGAAAGTGAATCCACTGAATAAAAGCTGAAAAATGACTAAACTATCTGGCTACACATTGTTTTCCTTCATTTATGTAATGGGCCTGACAGATGTACAAATGGCAGGATGCAGAATAATAAAGCAGGTAATGTCTTCATCCTAACAAAAATCAGTTACAACTTACGCTAAGATGAAAGCAATAGATATTGGAAACGCTCAACAGGACTGGCAGCATATATGGAGAGAGGAACACAGATACGATGAATGACCTTCCATCTCTGTTTTTCACTCATGTCTTTTTCTTTCATGAGTTCTGATGGCCTGAAGCATAGATATTGCCTGGCATGCTAAGCATTTACAGCATTGCCTGTTTTTAATTTAGATTCCCAGTGTCCACAATTTTCTTTGTATTGTACTCTAGTTTGTTCTCCTGCACATTAGGAGAGTATAAATCTTCAAATAGAAAATGCTGAGAATCTGATGTGAGATAGGGTTTCTCTTAAGAAGAACTAACATTGGAGCTTTATTTTATAGGATCATGTTCAAAAGGAGTGCGACTATCCATGCATTAGACTGTAATTTTAATTCACTAGTGCACAAGGATTTGTCTTAGAGCCTCAGTTGTTTACTATCTATAGAATGGACTTGAAGAATGGATCAGAGTGTAATGTATCCAAATTTTGTTGATACAAAAATAGGTGGGAAGCAGGTTGTTTTGAGGGCATAAAGAATCTGAAAGGGGATCTAGACAGGCTGAGTGAGTGGACAAGGACTTAACAGATGTAAATTAGAGTGAAGGGTCTAGGCCCGAAACGTCAGCCTTTCTGCTCCTGTGATGCTGCTTGGCCTGCTGTGTTCATCCAGCCCTGCACCTTGTTGTCATTGGTCATGCACTTTGGTGGAAAAAAAATCAAAGTCAGACCATTGTTCCAACAAAGAGAGACTCCCAAAAAAAAAGTACAGAGGGTCTGGGTGTTCTTGTACATGAAACACAAAAAGTTAGCATGCAGGTGCAGTATGTAATTTTGAAGGCTAATGAAATTTTGCCTATTATTGCTAGGGGGTTGGAGTTTAAAAGAAGGGAAGTCTTGTTACAGCTGTACAGGGTATTGGTGAGGCTGCATCCAGAGAATTGTGCAGGGTTTTGCACCCGATATTTAAGAAAGGATAAATTGGCATTAGGGACAGTTCAAAAGAGATTCACTAGACTGATTCCTCAGGTGATGGGTTGACTTCTCAAGAATGACTGAACACACTAGGCTTTTTTTTCTCATTAGAGTTTAGAAGAATGAGGGGTGATCTAATTGAAACATACAAGATTCAGAGGGTGTTGAGAAGGTGTTTCCACTAATGGGGGAAATCTCAAGCTATAGAATAAAGGGACACTCATTTAAAGCTCAGATGCAAACAAATTTCTTCTTTCAGAGGGTTGTGAATGTTTGGAGTTCTCTATCCCAGACAGCTGAGGACGCTGGATCACTGAAAGTATGTAAAGAGGAGCTGGGCGGATTTTTTAAATATTGAAAAGTTCAAGGCTATGCTGAGCTAGCATGAAAGAGAAGTTGAGACAAGCGGTAGATCCACTATAATTCTTTAAGTGACTTGCAGGGCTGGTTTGATGGGCTGAATAGCCTACTCTTCCTATTTCTTGCGTTCTTATGTATGTTTTCAAAATGATTTTAAAAATTAATATATTTACTCTCCAACTCAAAATCTGAATCATTACATTTGCAAGTATTGAATAGAAATGTACCGTTGATTTAGTGCATTTTCAAAATAGCATGGTGACACTGATTTGTACAAGATTAACATTTATTGATTTCTTGAGGTATTAACATCAGCTTTTCCTGTTGAAAAACCACCAACATAAACCATCTTTATCATAGATGTTGCTCTATATATTATAGGAAGGAAAATGCAGCATTGAGGTAATGAATATTATACATGGATAGTCCTACAATACAATCTTACTTAAATTCACACTAGATTACATTTTGACCTTTATCCAAAATAGACCACTTAAATAAAAATGTTTCATTTCAAGTCAAAGTCACTATACAAATCAAAATACAGAAACACAGGGCAATCCTTTCCCCCACTCCTCCTCTCTGATTTGGTAAAGAAGTCTTCATTGCGATTTTTAAACTTATACAATGTAGAGATTACATGCGGATGGTATTGGCAGATTTAGTTAATATAGACTGTATAATACATCCAATTTATAACATAGACCATTAATAAATGCCGTAAATATCGGTAATTCATTAAAATGTATAAAATACTTTTAAATTTTTATTCTAGGGAGGAAATGTACAATGCATGTTAACATACATTTGTAGGGAAAATAATTCAAAATTAAAAATATAAATATACGACATTCTCTTTATTTGGTTAAGATTTTTGATTAAGATTATAGAATGTGTACACAGTTATGTAAAAAAAATCCTTACACTCCTATGATTACAATTACTGTAGCGTAAGCTTATTGTTTAATCTGCATGTTACAAGATAATGTGCTGGAACCAGACTGCAATATTACAGAAGGAGCCTTTGTATTATGCAACATGCAGAAAAATGATGTCTTTCAGACAAATAGTTCAAAAAGGCATACCTGTTAAAAGCATTGTTACCATGTTTTACACAGAGGTACAGACAATATAAACAAGCTATTGCTGGCAAAAGGCTTCTTCAGAATGTGTCACAAATGCAAAGCGTATGTACACACCAAGTGCTGATATACTCAAATAAACAGAGTGAAATTTGGATGCTTTGAAAAACTTCCTTGGGGAATGTTAGTGAAGTCAGTGTGAAAGATTATTTTTATTCATTCATGGGATGAGGGCATTGCTAGCTAGGCCAGCATTTATTGCCCTAATTGCCCAGACGGCAGTTGAAAGTCAACCACATTGCTGTGGGTCTGGAGTCACATGTAGGTCAGACCAGGTAAGGATGGCAGTTTCTGTCCCAAAAGGACATTAATGAACCAGATGGTTTTTCCCAACGATTGACAATAGATTCATGGATCACCAGTAGATTCTTAATTCCAGATATTTACTGAATTCAAATCTCATGGTGGAATTCAAACCTAGATCCCCAGAACATTACCTGGGTCTCTAGATTAACAATCCAGTGATAATGCCACTAGGCTATTGACTCCCCTAATCTTCTGACATTAATTAGGTGATACCCACAATATTTGGAGTCAGTGGAAAATCATTTTGGCTCCAAATGGGCAGATTTTCATTTAGTTGTTGGAGGGTATACCACAGTTATTGGTTGCTTTGTACCAGGCCGGATAGTGAAGGTCCGTCCATACGATTGTGGATGTTGTGCATTGTGTGAGCTGGAAAAGAATAGGAAGATTCATAAAAGGTATTTTACTTTATAAATGTAACATTTTAAAACCACAAGATAACTGCAAACTCAGTACTGTTGTGAGATCAGATTCCCAGTTAATGGTAACCGAAAGAGCTGCACATGCTGTACATCAGAAACAAAAACAGAAACTGCTGGAAAATCTCATACCTGCTGAGCTTTTCCAGCTGTTTCTGTTTTTGTCCCAGTTAATGTTAATGTTTTACTACTGACTAATTTGTGCTCACCGACCTCATTTCTCTTCAATACCAAGAAATCAGGGAATCATAGGATACTAACAGTGCAGAAAGGGGCCATTCAGCCCATTGAATCTGCACCGACCGTCCAGAAAGCACCTCACCCAGACTCACCCGACCCTCTGCATTGGATTCTGCTAGAAGTTCAGTGGTTCCGACTTAATATTGAACTGCTATAAACTGATCAATATTGCTACAATACAAAACTTGAAGTAAATATTTCATTTTATTTACATCTTGTATTAAATTATTTACTTTTCTAAAACTTTGGATCATTTTAGATAATGAATATCTTTGCAGGTGTAAGATAGCTGATAATTTAAATGTTCTATGTTTTAATATATAAAGACAGCATAGTTGTACACAGAAGATAAAAGTCTAATGGAATGCTCGCCTTTATATCCAGAGGACTAGAATACAGGCTAAATAATGTCTTGGTTAAACTGCAGCTGGAGTACTCTGGAAAGTTAAGAAGGCTGGAGAGAGTACAGGAAAGCTTTCCCAAAATAAATTCTGGACATCAATGCTTAAATTACAAAGAAGATTACACAAATCAAGGTTTTAGTCCCTGGAATTTTGAAAGTTCAGGGATACTTTGAAAATTTCAAACTATTAAGGAAGCAATTACTGTAGATAATGGGAAACCATTTCTGCCAGTTGGGGAATTTAGAACTGGGCGCATTGTTGAATGATTAGTGCCACACATTTTGGGAATGAAATTAAGAAGCATCTCTTATGTGCAAAGGGTGGTAGAAGTTTACAACACTGTCACAAATGACAGTCATTTAAGGAACCAACCGTTAAATTTAAGTTTGAGATTGTTATTATCCACAGCTATTAAGGGATTTGGGGCAAAGTTGGGTAAACAAAGTCACGGATTAGCCATGATCTCACTGAATGCAGAACAGTCTTGAAAAAATAAGTGGCCCTTCCTGTGGCTACGTTCTTTTTACTCCATAAGCAACATTATCAGAAACAAAAACAGAAACAACTGGAAAAACTTAGCGTGTCTGGCAGCATCTATGGAGAGAAAGCAGAATTAATGTTTTGAATCCAGTGATCCTACTTCAGAACATAAACAGAGGTGAACAGAAGGTAGGCACTTAAATCATACACATTGTAACCACAGGGAAACCCAAAGCATTCTGCACCCAATGAAGTATTTGCAAAATCCAATCATTCTTGTAGTGTAAAATTAACAGCAACTTGTCACAATCATCAGTGTGATAATGATAAGGTAATCTGTTTTTGCATTGTTGAAAGATAAATACTGGTCTGGACGCAGGGAGGACTCCCCTGCTCTTTTACATAGTGCTATGAGATCTTTTACATTCAGCTGAGAGGGTAGATAAAGCCTTCTGAGCTGAAAACTGGAATTTAGCACAGTGCTCCTGCAGAAATGCAGCATCATCTGTAGTAGGACTTGAACAATTAGTAAAATATTGAAGAGAATGGAATTAAATGGTTAATACAAAACTAATTGTTTTTATGAACTATTTAAGAACTTTGCTCTCCAAGAGGGTTATACTTTTACTCAGTCCAACACAGATCTGAACTTACCTTTTGGCTGTGACATCAGAATAGTCTGTGCTTAAGGCTTGCACTTTAGACTGCAATTCATCAATCACTTTATTCTTCATTACCAGTTTGTTTGTTGATGGTACCGTTTCTGCCTGCTGCACTTCCATCTTGGGTATATTTTTTCCATATGCTTTAGGCATTAAATGGCAATCTGAAACTCGCTTTGAATTCTGATATTTTCCAGGACCCCCATTCACAACAGTGCTATTCATAAATGTGGGCTTTTCTGCAATCACTGGCTTTTGCCGATCAGTGTTTGTTTTGACAGGAGGTGACAACGTGTTTAATGGCAATTTGCTAATGGAATAAGCGTTTTTAGTATTTGGGTTTTTATGGTGATTAAACGTAAAATGGTCAGGATCCTGCAGACGAAGCCCTTTCTTGTCAGAACTGGTAGAGGGATGATTGTCAATCCCAGATTCAACATTCGCTCTTCTTTCTGGTTGAGATGAATAATCTTCGTTATGGTTAGAAAATTCAAGTGGAGGTGGCAGAAGTTCAAATGAGGCTTCTTCATTCTCTTCATCACTAAAACATGGTGGAGGTGGGATCAGAAGTAAAGACACGTCATCTTCTTTTTGAGAGTCTTCTGGTTCTGCAGTTTCTCGTGATGCAGAGTGGGGTGAAGGTTTTGACCAGTCAAGACTCTTTCTGGTGCTGTTCAGAGGACTGACGAGGTCACCTCCATGCTTGTTCCATGCTGAACTATCTTCTTCAGCATGTGATATCAAAGAACGATCCTTGTAATTAGCTACTGGTGCAATGTGGATTGTATTTGAATTTGTTGACTGAATGAACCGAGTGCCTCCCAAGGATAAGTTTGCTGTTTCTGCAACTGCTTTGTGAACCCTTTTGATTTTACTGGAATCTCGCTGTTTTGCAGCCATGAGAAGTGCCAATGGTGAACGTGGATCTATATTCTGCTCTGGGCTAGGGAGAGTTTGTTCTGGAGGAGAATCTGGTGGCTCTGCTGTTACTGTAGTTGGTTTCTCAACTGGTTTCAAGGATTGAAAATCTGATGTAACATCTTCCGAAGAACTCTGGTTTTCAAAATCTCTGGTCACAGTGGATTTTGTCCTCTCTCCTGCTCTGTAGTTCCCATATTCTATTTCAGAATCAATATTTGAAATGGGTGAATGTGTCAAATTTTGATTGCTTGTGGAATCATGAGCTTGATTTAAACTGCTCTGTCGAAGATCCATGTTGTTGTCCCAGTTCTTTTCTTTTTCATCCGCTGTGGAACGGTCTATGGAGGAACCTGAATGTATTCCTTTGTATTGGACTGACTTAGATTGTTGTAGCAATAGATTGTTCTTACGAGCTGGCTTCTGTGGTTTAGGAGGAAAATGATCTATTTGAACCTTATTCATACTTGGATGCTCAGTGCTTTCATTTGTGTTCATGTGCATGGAAGCAGTGTGATTAATCTCACCAGTGTGGTCCATTGGATACTGGTCAGCGTCTTTCATGACTATCATGGATTTGCCTTTATTTTGCCAGTCAGAATTTAACCCATATTCTGATCTGTTAACTGGTTCTGAAGATCCAAAAAGCTTTGCTGTTGCTTTAGGATTGAAAGTTGATGCAACTGGAAGCTGTGTAATCACTTCAGGAGATTCTGCCATATACAAAGAGTGACTATTGGGAACTGATTTTTGTGAAGCAGCAGGGAAGAATTTGAAAGAAGATAGTGTATCCCTTTCAGGTTTGAGAGAAAAATGATTATGTTGCATCAAATCTCTTTGTGGAGGAGTTGGCGGTGATTTTTTAGGCTGTTTAATTTGGTTGTATTTTGAAGCATTATTTTGCAGAGGTGATTTGAGAGAATAATCATCAGGCGGAAGAAAGGGAGGAGGTGCAGGAGATCTTGTGCTGGATGGAGAAGATGCTTTTGAGAACTGATCAGCCTTTGGGAAAGATTTGTGCGGTGCCATTGTTGGAGGCAGTGGGGGAATCATATTTGGAGGTAGAGGAGGTGGAGAAAAAGTTGTTTCAGAAGGTTGGTAGTTTTGAGTAGGTTTTTGTTGTGATGTCATGTTTGAAGGTGGTGGTGGTGGTAGAGGAGGAGGGGCCATCTGAGGAGGTGGCGGGACAGTCACTTCATAAGGAAAATAGGTCATTTGTGGATTTTGATAAATACTTTGTGGTGGAGGTGGTGGGGATGCCATCGGAGGAGGTGGTGGAGGTGCCATTGGTGGAGGTGGTGGAATCCAGTCATCTTCCAGCTTGCTGATATTCTGTCCATAGTTTCCAACATTAGGTCTGTTGTTGCTGACTTTTACATCACTGCCTACAAAATGAAAATGTGATAAATTAGTTCAAATTTATCTTTTGCCATAGGATATTATGTGCTTCGGAAACATGGGATTATCAAGTATAATCTTTTTCTCAGTCCTCCTCAGATATTCTCCTAATCATTTTTCACAAGATTGATGATGGCTGCACTGCTGTTTCCTGTTCTCACCCGGAATGGGAAGATTTAGTCAACTTTCCTTCTAACTAATTGGATTTCTTCTACCACATTCCCAGGAGGCATTGATCTTCTGTTCACAATATTGCCCATGCTTCTCTCATCCTTTATTATTAAAGGACTAAAAGGGACTCTTCAACCTCATTGGTCTCTGTCAGACATTAAATTCCTCTCAAACAAAAGCAAAATACTGCAGATGCTGGAAATCTGAAACAAACACAGAGAATATAGGAGAGACTCAGCAGGGCTGGCAGCATCTGTGGAGAGAAAGAGAGTTATCATTTTGAGTCAGGTATGACACTTCTTTAGAATTGGGGTAGTCCTCAATTCAGTCAAGGGGTCTGCATTGGTTTAGAGGGCCTGGTCATTGTTACCTTTAAGCTGCGCAGTTCTGGGCCAATCATGATTTAGATTTCCAGTTCTGGAAGTCACTACCACGCAAGGGCCTCACAGGTTCAGGCAGCCGGGAAGAAAATTAGAGGAGGTGCTGGTCCTGGTACCGTCAATCGGGCCACAGTCAGTACACAGTCCAGGGGGTCTGACCGCAATCAGTCATCAGCTTGGGATGCTCAGTGTCAAGCGATCTGTCTGACTGCAGTCCATGGAGTGGGCAACGCTCCATCCTGTAGGGGCAGCAGCAGCAGCAGGCAGAGGAATGGTGTACTGTCAGTCAGGAAGCTGCAAAGGACAATGGTTAGGGGTTTGGTCAGTCGTATTTAGCTTGTGAAGTAGTTCTGAGATCTGTGACAATTACAGTCGGTCATCAGTTCTTAAGGGGGTGCCTTGGGAGGCAGCAGGGTGATCGCTGCCAAAAGGAATGTGTGAGTCAAGAAGGCAGGGAGGAAAGCAGAGACACTTATGGAGGCGGAAACAAGGATGGTGGCGGAGAGAAATTCAAAGTGTATGGGCAGGGGCGGGTATCACAGGAGTTGTTATTGGCAGCAATAATCACTGTGGCCTCTGCAAAGGGTTTGTAGAGGAGCAGGATGGCATTATTAAAGTGTAATGTGTGGATTTGGGGGCAGGGTTCAATGTAGTGTGTGTCTCTAAAGGAGGGGGCAGGAGTGTGTGGACATGGGTAGTGCAACGTTAAATGGACATAGAAGGGGTAACGGAATGATACCTGGAAACCAGAGAGGGTCTGGTGCTGAAGGTGTTGACTGTGAGCTGTGTTCCCTGCCATCACTGCCATTCCCTAGCTGCACAATGCAACTGAAAAGTGAGAGCAGCACCCAAGGTGGGGGTAAGTCGGTGACACTATGATGGGTGAAAGTGCAAAATCCATTCTGCTGGATGTTAGGACACTCCCGGGGCAAATACATGAAGCACAGGTTTGCAAACTCCAGCTATGCGCCATTACCAACATTTATTCATGTGTATGCAAAATGGACGTGCTTATACATCAAATATTGCTCAAAGGCAGAAAGCACCATGTCACTGGTGCTGGTTAAGCCACCATCGCCATCTCAGTGATGCAGAAGTTAACAGCAATATCATAAAAGTTTATGAATGCTAAGCAACAGTCTCCATCATTTGCAGAAACTCCAGGAATGCTGTAGGACAAGGAGGACAAAGCAGCATCACAAGTCAACTAAATATGACGAAAGAACCTACTGAATGCAATGGAAAGCGGGATGGCTGTGATGGGTCTGAGATGGGACAAGCATCGGAGTGCAGCAAGTTCTCCCTTCTGCTAAGTTTGTGCACATGCTGTGAACAGGGTCATGGTAGAACATGATACCTGCTGCTGAAGATTCAGTTCTGCACCACTGGAGCAGGCAATGAAGCAATGTGGTAGATGCTGAGAGCTGGGGGCATGACAGCAGTTGTCTGAGGAAAGGGATGAGGATTTGGAGTTGGAGGAAGGTGGATGGCAGAGGTCAGCTGCAATAGGCATTACAAGGCAGATGGGACCTGATTGATATCTGGCCCTGCCTGGCTTCCAGGTACTACCCCCAACCCTTCCATGTCCCTTTAACCTTGCACTACGCTAGCAGCCCGTTTCCACACATCCCTCTCCCATCTGTGGAGACAGTACCGGAGAGTTGGATGCAGAACACCATCATGGACTGTCAAGGTCAAGATACATTGTAGGTGCATCCTGTAGCCCATGTTTGCCTCCCTTTAGTTGTCTGTCAGTAAAAACTTATGTTTGTCTGTATGCAATGTTTCCCTACTTACTAATTACAAGATAATGGATGACCACTGGGAATTGAACGAGAAGTGGGGACTCAGAGAGTCTTCAGAGGTGTTGTAGCTTACAACAGCTTAGCTGTTTGGCTTGGTGGTTAAACAGTGACCAGGGTGGGAGAATGAGGTTGCTTGTGCAAGGGAGCATCAGCCATGCCTGCTATATGCCGTGGTCAACATGGCTTTGTGGTGCCAGTGAGGAGCAACACCGGATTGCCAACACTTATTCAGTTGTACAGCAGCCTCCTAATGATCAAGAAAAGGGATGCTGTTTTTTCAGCGGCTATCCATTGAGTAGTGAGGTGTGACAGTACATAGTAAGGTGGGGATGGCATCAGATATTTTATTCATTCTCAGGGTGAGGATACCGCTGGCTAGACCAGCAGTTATTGCCCATCCCAGAGGACAGTTGAGAGTCGACCACATTGCTGTGGTCTGGAGTCACATGTAGGCTGGACCAGGTAAGGATGGCAGTTTCCTTCCCTAAAGGACATCAGTGAACTTGATGGGTTCTTCCGACAACCGAAAATGGCTTCATCATCATCAGACTCTTATTTTCAGATTTTTATTGGATTCAAATTCCACCATCTGTCATGGCAGGATTTGAACCTGGGTCCCGGGAACATTACCTGGGTCTCTGGATTTACAGTCCAATGATAATACCAGTAGGTCACTGCTTCCCCAGATGTGAGAAACACCATAGGGGTGGGAGAGGTGGTTGTTCAGGCATATTTGGTAAGATAGGTTGAGCAATCTTACTGGGCCTCACAGCAAGTATCCCTTCAAAATATTCGACACAATTTGCACTCAGCCAAAAAAAACAAAAGCTAGATATTGGAAATGCTCAGCGTATCAGGCAGCATCCGTGGAGCCAGAAACAGTGTTTATGGACTGAATCTTTTGTTGCAATTAATTGATCCTGATTATTGGCAAAATTGCAGACTTAATTTTATTACATTGGTACATAATTAGTTTTGAATGTCATTCTGCTTGGTGAGCAGTTTCCTTGCCCAATCTAAAGCCCAGCTCCCTGTCTTCACTAAACAAGTCTGACTCCTTTTTCTTCACTTGCCAAGGTTAACTGTTTTATTCCTTTATAACATTTACTTAAATTATTTTCACAGACACTTTATTGAATACCTGGAACAATTTAATTACGGATTTTTCTGTTCCTTCCATTTCCCATTCAGTCATTAGACAGGACCAAGGCAACTAAAGCTTATTGCTACTGTCCATGGACAGATTCCTTGCCCAGTTTCATTTATGCTTGTCCAAGGACAATTCAAGCTCAGGCCCATCCTGTGTTGTTCCTTCTGGCATGTACAAAGCACAGGAAAATCAGGGGGGTGCGGGGGGTACAAGCTTTTTGCCATTTGTCAGAAAATAGGCACTTTCTGGCTGCTGATAATGATCGGCAGCCAAGTGTTCTGATCTTACCATAAATTACTGGGCAGACATGCATAAAGTTCCCAAAACCATTAGATAGTCTTCACACAGTGTCTCCATAGTTAGCACTGCTGCCTCACAGCACCAGTGACCCAGGTTTGATTCCAGCCTTGGGTGACTGTCACTGGGGAGTTTGCATATTCTCCCTGTGCATGGATTTCTGCCCGGTGCTCCAGTTTCCTCCCACAGTCCAAAGATGTGCTGGTTGGGTTGACTGGCCATGCTAAATTGCCTATAGTACCCAGGGATGTGTGGGCTAGGTGGGTTAGCCACGGTAAATGACAGGTTACAGGGATAGGGTGGTGTTGGGTCTGGATGGGATGCCTTTCAGTGCAGACTTGATAGGCTGAATGGCCTCTTTCTGCACTGTAGGGACTCTACAATTCTACGGTTCTCTATACCTCCTGCTGCCATTGTCATTGCTCCTTGGACAAGCATAAATGAAACTGGGCAAGGAATCTGTCCATAGACAGTAGCAATAAGTTTTAGTTGCCTTGGTCCTGTCTAATGCCTGAATAGGAAATGGAAGGAACAGAAAAATCTGTAATAAGTTGTTCCAGGTATTCAATAAAGTATCTCTGAAAATAATTTAAGTAAATATTATATATGCAACAATCTAACAGGGATTTTCGCGCCAGGTCCAAGGTGAATTTTACTTTGCTAGCTGTCTCTGTGCAGAGGTACCCAGTTAACAATCAATCCAGAAAATGAGATGGGAGGCAGGAAACCCATATCCAGTTTCCTTCAAAACAAACAAAAACAGAAATTGCTGGAGAACCTCAGCAGGTCTGGCAGCATCGATGGATAGAAAGCAGAGATTTTTCAGTCCTGTGACCCTTGTTCAGGAGTTCTGAAGAACTGTCACAGGACTCGAAATATTAACTTTTTTTCCTTCCACAGATGCTGCCAGGCCTGCTGAATGTCGCCTGCAATTTCTGGTTTTGTTGGTCTCAGATCGCCAGCTTCCACAGTTCTTTGCTTCATTCCAGCCTCAATTAAAAGGCTCAGTCAAGCCAGAGGTCATTGTGTACTTTGACAAGATCTGAACCTGTTCCTGACCCTCTACAAAATACACCAAAAGGATAAAGAGAGCATATCCATTCTTCATTACCTTTGTCTCAGGATGGAATCTGTAGGGCTTTTTTTGGGGGAGGGCACAGTCAAGCAACAAGTAAATAATCTCATTTGCTTCCAATGTCTAAATGTTTCAATTATGTCTCCTCATTATTAAAACTGAATAGATCTACACTTTGTTGTCATTGATTAGTCAAAACAGTTTGACGTCAAGTTAAAATCTCAACATTTTCCAGATCATTTCAATTTTCAAAACCAGGAATCAATTTGGCTTCCTTGAACTGCTCTCCTTCAGGAACCACAAAATCTTCCTGTGCCAAGGTCGCTCAACAGAATAGTGCATCGTCATAATTGGTAAGTTTTTGGTCTTCTTGGATGAGGAACCAGATTATTTGATTTTTCTTTAAGTAAAAACACTTGCATTAAGCATTTGTTTCATTTTGTACACAACTGTCAGATCTTTCATTTTAATAACCTTTGTATTTATGGACAAGAGGTTGTTTGTATCATGGTATGTAAATTATACTTGTCATTGCCAAAATCAATTTGCATGGATTAGTTCCGCATAAGCAAAACAGCATGTGAAAATAAATGCTTCAATACAGTAGCTTGCCTGGCTTCCATTTTATGTAAGTACTTTGTGATGTTTAACCTAGTTCAACACAGAAACAAAAATAGAGTCTTTTCCCCGGTGTTCTCTGAAGTCACAAATGTCATTTGAAGGTTCCCTGCTTCCCCAAGCAAAAAAAAGGATGATGAAGTTTTCAAGTGCAAGAACGCTGCTTCACAGGGATTTTACAGAACCTGGCTCAAAAAAAAACAAATCGCCATGCACAGAAAAAAAGTCTACCTTTACCGCCAATTATCTCACCTCCATTCTCCTTTGCAAGCTGTTCTCCACTACCTCACTAAGTGACTACGTTATTAATCTTCAAGCCCTGAAGTCCACTTGCCTGCAGGTTCATTAAAAGTGAGGCTAATCATTTCCACCTCGATCAATACTAAGCAGTCCACTTCATATAAACAGTGATCAGTAAGGCGAGAGAGGGTTCCAGCCTACTGTTCCTAAGCTAATCATTAAACCCAAGAGATCTTTTTGAGAAGTTATACTAAAAGCATGAAATTGCAAAGGGACAAACTAGAACTAATGAAAAACAATGGACAAAATATAAACTAATACAAGTGCGAACCATATCCTACTGTTAGAATAAAAGATTCAATTCATCAAAAGTAAAATAATCACATGAATTCTTATCTGAAGCAGATACTTACTAAAGTCCAACACTACAGAAACCATTTTTTTCAGGCTCCTGAAATATGATCCAGGGTTGGTATTGCCAATGCATTTGCACTTACATTTAGGGTGACCAGAAGTTCAAGTTTTGCTAAGACAGTCCTGGTTTACTCTTTAAATGTCCTTGTGTCCTGATAATTTCCGAAAAACAATTCATTATCACAGTTTTCACCTTTTCCGTTTTTGTCTAATATATAAACTGGCACTGGGTTGGCCAGGGCGGGGGTGGGGATGGAATTAAATTTCGTTGTCCTCCCTGTAAATAACTATCACATTGTATTACATGCACGGACCTGTATCTCATCCCCAGCAACCCTTTCACATTTCCAAAAGAATTGTCATTAGCTTCTTGGTGCCAATGGTTTTATTATAGATGAAACTTTTGAAACAATCTAAGAGTTCTGAGGAAGGCTCACTCGACCCAAAACATTAACTCTGATTTCTCTTCACAGATCCTGCCAGACCTGTTCAGATTTTCCAGCAATTTCTGGTTTTGTTACCATTATGTACTAAACCAAATCAAATAATATTTCAATACACAACTGCTGAAAATCTGAGTTGGAAACAATATGGCTTTTTTTTTAAAAAATGGCTTAAAAAGCATTGTTAAAAAAGTCAAAGCTTTTTATCACTTATTTCCTCAATGATGGATTGAATCAAATCAGTGCAATGCAAACAACGCCAAACATTTCAGTCCAATTTATACCTGCAATTATAGATGTTCTTGGAATCTTAGAAAACAATGCCTGGTCTGGCAGATTCGGAGTTGGCACAGCAAGCTTTGGACGTTCTTGAAAAGGCTGGAAAGAAAAATTAATTCATTTGTTTCCTGTTTATATGTTGAATGATTGCTCTTATAAATACTGCACATTTGAATCTGCACAAGTTCTGAAATGCACATTGTCCCTCAACAATACAGCAGTTTACTGCTCGAAAGAAGTACAGGAGGAATTATTTCTGTTATATGTATTTCCTTTTGTTTTCAGTTTTTTCTTCAGTTTAGAAAATTGTGCCCATGAAGTCAAAATAAATTAAAATCAGCCAGGCAATGAGATCCCATCAGTTTCCTGATGGATGAGTTAGGTTAAAACTGTAAAACTGAGTGTATCTTGAACACAAAAAGTTTGAGATGAACTGAAAACCTGTATTGTTAATTCTCTGGAAAGGAATTTGATATTCTCTTCCATCTCCTGTTAAAATTTCAATGGGAGATTATCAGAAACCCCAGAGAAATTATACAAACACCCAATTGTACCATTTTGCTGTGTGTCCTGAGCATACAGAACAATTGTAAAATTAACAGAAATTTTACTGACCCACATTTAATATTGAACACAAACTTAATCTCAAAAGTATGGATGATTAATTAACAAACAAGCCACATTAATGATAGTTTAACCTCCCTCTGTCATTGCCACATTTAATGACAGACATTCTTTCCCGTTTTTCTAAAACAGATCTGGTTGGTAAATCAAGCAAATGATGCAATGAACATTTTTTCCATTTTTTAAAATTGTTGATAATACTCCATCTGGCAAATGTATGCATATTAATCAGATATATTCTTTAATTCTTTCCATAATCCAGTAAGGTGAGTTGGAGCAGAAAGTAGCCATTTGGTTCTCTGTTGCTATCCTCAAATAGCCATTAAATAAGTACCTATGTTTTCTCCATACTGCCATCAATTTTATTTTCCTAATATATATTCATTTTCCTAGATTCTACTTTCATAAATTCTATTTCCATTGCTGTTTCAGTGCAAACTAAAATTCTTAAATTGTCGTTTTAATTCTTTTCGTGATTAGCTTTAAATTTATGCCCTCATCACCAACTCAATTAATATAAATGTTTTTCCTTCTTTAATCTTTCAAAATTCTTCATAAACCTGAACATCTCTAAGTATTCAGTAACCTTTCATGACTCATTTTGAATAGGTTTGAATTGCATATAAAAAAAAATAAATAAACTCTCTGTATTGCATTTAAAAAAAAACTTTTATTCTGTTTAACCAAATCCCTTCTATGACCTTGTGAAATCTCATTTACTAACATAAGATAAAATCAAAAAGGGCCAGTTGTTCATTCAATGGACTTCCTATGGAGATTCTACAATGAAATGTATTGTATATCAGAGAACCAAAAAGTTCACAGTGCCCTCCACAGAGCATCAAAACCCCGCCAACAGGACGAGCTTATGCATTTCTTTAAAAAGAGCATTAATGAGGTCCACAGAGTCGGAACAAGGACATATCAATTAGAATACTGAATACCAAATCTAGTACAAAAAGTGAAACAGAAAAAATAAATGGAATTAAGGGAAGATAAAAGAAAAAAATTAAAAATTTATATCTTTTTTACCTCTCAAAGAATAACTAAAGTCTGAAAGAATTAACTGATAAAGTTAATCATCAGTGCAGGTTAAGTGCTTATCTATCAGACAAGTACAGCAACGTTACTGTTAAATGTTTTTGAATGCTGAGCCAGACAGCAAAGTACCATTACCGTGCAACCTTTGAAAGAACTGTGCATTTCTGACAGCAGTCACAATCTCCTAAGAAGTGGCAGCAACTGACAGATTGTCATAAATTCTCTGGACCTTATGCGTGGTGTATATTTCCAGGACCTTCTGAGCCCAGAATTGATCGGCACATGTAGTGCAGCAGTTCAAGAAGGCAGCTCTCCATCACCTTCTCAAGGGCAACTAGGGACAGGCAATAAATGCTGTCCCAGTCAGCGATGCCCAGGTCCCACAACTGAATTAAAAATAATCAGTCCGTCAGGGAACTCTGTTGGAGTGAAGTAGAATCAGAAGACAGGACATGCCTGCTTTATAATTGCACTCACTGGTTTATGGTAAATTTTGTGAATGGATGAGCAAATGGGAAGGATGGAAGTGGGTTAGGTGGTTAGGGAAGGCAGATTGATCAGCTGTGGAGTTACACAATAGTTGAATTGAGTTTTAATCAGTGGAACATTTCCTAGGAACCTATGCAGGTAAGTAGCGTGCAAATATTCGAAATCTCCAAATTAAAGAGTCAGAGATATTTGCTGACGGTCTGGGGTGGCAGGGAAATTACCCATTGGAAGTTGAAACTCTCCAGGCAATTCCCACATAGATCCACATGTCGAGACTTCCACAGGGTCCTGGTGTGCATCTGGTGTGCACCTTTCCAATCCCTGACAATCCTTAGACCAGAAAATTTGGCCAGCAACTTCCTGATTTCTGCATTTAACTGCACATAATGCAATCACCAGAAGTTGCAATTTGAATTCCCTATAAATAATGATGAACACCATTAACTTGACTATTAATTCTACCAATAAATCTGTCACAATTTTTCTTAAAGTTGTGCAACCCATATTAAAAACAGTTAAATTCAGCCAGATTCCATGATTACAGTTCAACCACTGAAAGCCATCCAAAATAAGCTTGGAATTTCTTCTGTGTGCCTGAATGAACAACTCAAAGCCACAAAGATAAGTTGTATTTAGATCCTAAATTCAGATGACAGCTTATTCTAAACATCCAGCTCACTTACACTTAAGAAAAAGGGATTATTAATTTGTAGTCTCGCAGGGCATCATTACAGACATCTGTCGTAATAGCCACTATAACTACATTTTCATCGAAAGACATAATAGTAATGGAAATTTAAACCTGCTGTCATTTAAGGCAAACTTTAATTTTTTGCAAGTCCAATGAATATCAGGGTTTTAAGCTGATGCAGATGCTCTTTTTTGACAATGAAGTTTTGTTTTGACACTGAAACGTTACAAGAAACAGACTAAAGTCAAACATTACAATAGCAAGCTTGACAGTCGGCCGCTGTTTCACTTTTGCTGTTCCAGAGTCCATAACCGAACTTATTGCTCCTTCACTGTACACAGTAGTTGCTAGGATCTCATTGAGGTTATCTGGAAGCAAACACAATTTGAAACTCAATTAATGCAATTTAAAGAACAAAAAAAAGTCTGAAATTCAAATTCATTTGAAAAAGAATCAGCTTTACATTCATAGTGATTTCAGTACAAAATAAATTGTGGATAACTTGTGATTTTATAACACCATTACAGTGAAACATTCCAAGATGTTACATAGCAGTATTTTTCCAAACATATGAGGGAGACAAAAAGCATGGACAGAGAGTTTTTAAGGGGGTTTTAAATGATTTTAAGAAGGAATTCCAAAGTGATGGGGTCTAGGCAGTGAATGTGCATTTGTTAAAGGTGAAGGAGTGGCCACAGTGAGACAAATTGAGAACTGGACAGATTGTACAGCAGAACAGTTACAAAGATAGGATGGAGGAGCTAGGCCATGGACGTCTTTAAACAGAAGGATGAAAACTTCCAATATGTGAATCGAATCAGAACGGCCATGAACTTATTGAATGGCAGAGCAGGCTCAAAGGGCAGAGTGGCCTACTCTTGTCCCTTGTTCGTTTGTTATATGTTATTGGTATGTTTAAGTTGGGGGTGACTAGAAACTAATGTAGGTCATTAAAGTCAGTAGTCACAGATGTGCGAAATGTGGGGCTAAATCTTATGGTAATTTTACTAAGTATCTGGTTCATTGAGTTTCATGTAGGGTTTCTCTCTGTGAGACCCAGTGAGTTTTCCCACACTATTGTCCCAAACCTGCCTCATTAACTAACTATCCCACCCCTTTGGTGTCCCTCACTCGTTGCTAGCTGGATTCTACCACATGCTGTAACCGAAAGAACTCCCCACCAGAGGGATATCCTGGAATTGACCGGTATGCCTGGAGCTGGCACCATCTTTGCACCCCAGCCATGCACCCAATCAAGCATTGGCAGACCAGAATTGCCCTTCACTGTCAATGTAATGGCACAGCAGCCATAACCCAGTGCAGCTCACACAGCATAAAAGCAGCATGCCAGTATTGTTGACACTTCCTTACTCATACAACTGCACATTCCCACGCTGCGAAAGAACCAGGCCACACACCTCACCAGTCCACAGCCACATCCCATCTTACAATCTTCTAAGTCACTGGTACTCTGTCCCCACTGCCAACTGGAGTTCAGCACTTCATCATTGTTGACTGATCAGCCATCACAGACAGGAAAGCCTTCAAACAATGCAGAACATTAACTTTTATTTACAGAACCCGAAAGCAAAAAGAAATCAAACAAACAGAGGCTGCGTCCCCTGGTACCAGGGAAATGACCCCAATGAATTTCTACAAAAAAAGATTCGCTATCAACAAGTGGCTGATTGGTCTGTGGAGTGATGACCAGTTGTCAATGACAAAGACCTTCTGCCTGCCAATAACTGAACAGCTTGTCGTGAATGCAATGGTGAAAAACCTTCCGATCTCTGGAAAGAAAGGTGCTGTCTTTGTGTCTGCTGTTAAAAAAGAAACCTTAAGTCTGAAGAAAGCCAGCTTATTTTCCCTCATCAGTTGCTGTAAGCTATTGCTTTTGATCAATAAGTCAAAAACTTTAAAACTTGTGAACCAATTACTCTATGTCTTCTGCAGGCAGGTCAAAGATAAAAGAGAACTCTCCTAAGAGCAAGGGGATAGTAAGAGCTGCAGATGCTGGAGTCAGAGATGGAGCAACACAGCAGGCTACAGCTTTTTCTGAAGAAGGGTCCCGACCCAAAATGTCAGTTTTCCTGTTCCTCTGATGCTACCTAGCCTGCTGTGTTCCTCCAGCTCCATACTGTGTTATCTCCTAACAGCAAGCCCTGTCAAGCAAAAAGGATTGTGTCAGTGAACCCTATGGACCGAGACTATTGAGCTACCCTCCTAGTTTTCCCTCCACCAATAACATCAATTTTTTTGTATGTCTCAGTATTTGTGTAGTGAGAGTTTTATAGGGGGGTTAGAGTTTAACTGGTATAGTTATATGTTGATGGTTGATAACTGCTAACCTGTAGCTAAAACCTATTTATTTCTAATAAGTAGTAATTCTTGGAACAAAAACAAAGTTGCTGGAAAAACTCAGCAGGTCTGGCAGCATCTGTGAAGAAAAAAATCAGCGTTAATATTTCGGGTCCGATGACCCTTCCTCAGAACTTTTAACTCTGATTTTTTCTTCACAGGTGTTGCCAGACCTGCTGAGCTTTTCCAGCAACTTTGTTTTTGTTCCTGATTTACAGCATCCGCAGTTCTTTCGGTTTTTAAATAGTAATTCTTGTTGCGTGCAGAAACCTGATTCACATTTTCTGTCAGCCTGGGTACAAAATACACACAAATTGGAGAAATTTGCGCATTTTCACAGAATCTATAAGTTTTGTGATGAGTCCAAAAATACCAGGACTTCTTTTGCAGTGCACTACCCCAGTGAAGTTTGACTAAGGAAAAACTGCAAAGGTTCTTAATCTAAATATTGTATGCATCAAAGCCTTGCTACAAGTCCAGTCTGTTTGGCTGAGATTCTCAGGCAATCATCATTCTAATGCACTTTGATTGTTGCAAGGAAGCAGTAAGACTGAAAAATCTAATTAATCACGGATTCATCGCAGCCCCTGCACACTGATTCCTGGCAAAGGTCCTGAATAAGGTGGACACCATGAAATTGCTTGTGATGCCAAATACGAAGTTGCAGAAAGTATAGGAAAAGCCTGTCTTGGCAATGCCTTGGGTAGAGGTTGAGGAAGAAATGTTGGCCGGGACACTGGAAGAACACACTGTTCTTTGTCAAAACATAAATGGAGTTTCCAAGTCTACCTGACCAGACAGGACCACTGTTTAACATCACATTTGAAAGACAGCATCACTGATAATGCATCATCCATCTTTGTGGTAATGGACTACCAACATTAATCACAGCACACAGGAAAACATTTGTCCTTAATCAGCTGTTCCATTTTCTATACATTCACCATAATTAATCATGTCACCATAACAGATCAGAAGTCCAAAGTACTTACGGACATATTAAACTTTTAATTACTACAAATGCCTTTTAAAAGAGGTCTCCCACAGCCAAACGATGACCGCAGATTTTAATTCAGTGACTGGCTCAGTCCTGTATGAACCCAAAGAATGTCACATCTGTACAGAGGTGAAGAAACTTCCAACAGGGTTCAAATCCCACCTGCTCCTGAGATGTGCAGTCATATCTCTGAACAGCGTGATTAGAAAAATAGGTTAAATTAAAAAAAACTGGGCAACTAAGATGGAAGCGATAACGAGATGCTAACTAAGTAACATCTTTGTGCCATTGCAGGGATATACAAAAGAAGGGGCTAAAAAGTGACTGTAACCACTATTCTGTGTGTTAGTAGCCTGACAATAACTGTTCAAATTCCACTATCAATGCTACTAGTATTATGCCATGTAATGGCCACTATATTATGCGATCTGTCTTTATAACAACTCAGAGTGATCTCTATACCTTCTTTAAAACTTATCATTTTTTGAACTCGCTTCCTATTCCTAATCTGTGTGTAGTCTTATATTTCTTTTTTGCGTTTACTAACTAATAAACGCACATTTGTGAAGTCAGAAAACTTGGTTAAATTGGCTTCTTTAAAACAAATTCATTTGGTCTGCGAAAAACAGTATCCACAAGGGAAGTGATACTTTTTAAATTAACTTTGTTGCGATCGGCTAAGTTAGCAGATGAATAAAAAAGGGGAGTCAATTCATCCCTTCTCACCCGTGACCTTAGCAATTTGAGGTATCCTGTCTAGAACGTTAACAAATTGGAGAACACTGTCCTGGCACAGGATATAATACTGACTAGCAACAGTTGCAAATAAAATTAGGGATTGAATGGATTTTCTGAGAACAGGTGTTTTATACCTTAAAAAAACCCTGAATAATGCCTTTTTGGAGGGGGAATCAAAACAACAAAATACCGAAGTCCTGTGACTCCCTTCCTAAGTAACTCTGTGAATTTACCTACAACACATGGATTACAGCTGTCCAAGAAGGCAGTTCACGACCACCTTCTCACTTTGGGATCTGCAATAACCGCTGGTCTAGCATGAAAGAATACATATTTTACAAAAGGAAAGCCGTTGCTGGAGAAGAAACTCAATACTGATAAAATCCTACACAAGTTTTTTTAAAAATCAGTGAGACTGGCTTCAAGGAAATGGAGTCTGACTGGAGTTAAGTGGCACAATGGAACTCAACATCTCATAACCCAGAAAGGCCAGGGAATTCTTAGAGCTCAGTTAGGAAAGCTGTCACAGTAGAGCAACATGAACAAGTACAAGCAAGAAGTTAAAAGATAATTTACAGCCGTTATCTGCATTAGTCTTGGTTCCAACTTTCAACTGGAACTGCACAATACAAACTTATGTTACAGCTCATAAATACTAGTTTCATTTGCAGCTCTCCCATGCTTTGTGACAAAAGTTAGTAAGCTAACAGGAAACAACTTTTACAAATACATAACAGCACATTATTACTGACAGTAACCAAATCTGTTCTGCATTTGTAGAAAAGCACAATCATTATGATATGGACAGTAATCAATGAATAACTACAGAATGTCATTTTCATCCAATCATTGAGAAACATCACATAAATCACAAATCTGCTTAAACTTCTTCTAAATATATTGAATTAGATGACATGAACATTCAACATTATTCACTACTCTAATCATAATTAATTTAATTTTGATCCATTTATTGTCAAGAACTTTGTGATCTCTACACGCTTCCAGTTCTGCTGTTTTGTCAATTTTAATCACTCCACAGCTGACCATGCCTTTAGCTACTGATTTAAAGATACAACCACTGGTGGGCAAATCCAAACATCAGTATTTTTTAAGAAATCGATATATTCGAGGCAAAAGATTAAATCTGGGATCCAACAACTTTTAAAATAAAAAGGAAAAAGAAATGAAAGGTATTTTAATTAGTGGCACCTATAGAATGTGAGAAAGAACTTCAGGTTTTGAGTGGAATTGACCTATAACTTGCTGCTGACA